CCTGATTACCAGTGTTTTGAACTCTCCATCTGATAGGTAGGCTATTTCCTTGTTGCTTAGCTCTTTTTCTGGACCTTTGATCTGTTCTTTCATTTGGGCCACATTCTTTTGTCTTGGCAACCTATTATGCTGTAAGGGAGCAGGGCCTTAGGTATTTGCAGGGTGGGGCAACCCTCTTTGTTGCCTTGTGGTGCTGTCTGTGGGGGAGGAGTCAGAGAGGGAACAATGCTACTAGCCTGCTCTACCCTAGTGAGACTAGGAGTTTCTCCCACTGTGGCAACCCCCACAGTATTTTACAGCTAGCTTTGAGCCTTTATTTTCCCATTCTACCAGCCAGGCCTCCCCTGCACAGTCTGCCACCTTGCCACGTGTCCTCTTTGCCCAGCTGCCCCTTCTACCAGTCTGGGTAAATGTTTCTTTAACTCCTTAGTTGTTGGGAGTTCCATGCAGTTTGATTTTCTGGCACTTCTGGTTGTTCATTGTTTTTCAACTGGTTGTGTGAGGAAGCAAAGAGTTTCTACCTATGCCTCCATCCCTTACTAATGCCTTCTGAATGAAAAAAAATGCTCTAGCCAATTGATTCATACACATAACTCAAGGCACCACTTCACCTGGCAATGATAACATGAAACACAATGTATAGAAGAAAACAGAATTCCTTAGAAATATTCATCCGTAAATTTATCAACTTCAAAGAGATATTTCATGTAAATGAATTTTCAAAATAACTGATACCATTTAAGTCACTATATTTAAACAATCTTTTTAAAAAAAAATTATTTATTTATCGCTAGAGGGGAAGAGAAGGAGAGAGGGAGAGAAATATCAATGTATGGTTGCCTCTCGTGTGTCCCTTGCTGGGAACTGGCCTGCAACCCAGGCATGTGCCCTGACTGGGAATCAAACTACGCATGATCCTCTGGTTCACAGGCCCATGCTCAATCCACTGAGCTACACCAGCCAGGGCTATTTAAATAATCTTAATGAAGATATTCTAAAAGAAATTTCTAGTCTTCTCCGCCTTAATCTGCACACAATGTAACCTTTTTTGGATGATTCAAGCTCATCAATGTAAATATCAATTATTAGACTGCTCTACAAACAGTGGTTTTCTTGGAGTTACTGAGGGGTGTCCAATTGTTTTGTCTCTTCACTAACTTATCTTACACTACTTGTAAAAACAAGGTTTCCTACTGTCTGCTCTCCTTTTGTCACTTATAGGCCACTAGCATCCTACCCAAAGTTTCTAAAATGTCAATTATAGTTTAAAATATGTAAAACCAGAATAGGCAGTTGATATACTTAACCATATAGAAATTCTAAGTCAAGCCTGGGTATAGTGGTTTTCACTGCTCTAAAGTCTGACTCAAAAGCTTTTCTTCTTTTACTTCCTAGTTCTGCAACCTACTCTGGGCTATTGCTCAAAATATGGCCACAAAACAACAGTTACAATAGTAGTTATTTCTGCATATTTTCTTCATTCTTATTACTATATAGGAAAAAATCTAAATGATACTCATAACAAAACACATTAAACAACCATGAACGCACAAGATGTAAGGTGCCTCATCTTATATGCTATATGGACAATTACCTAGACAATTAATTATTAACCAAGAGTCAGCAAACTAGGACCACTGGCCAAATCCTGCCCAAAGCTGGCTTGTTTTTGTTTGACTCTTGAGCTAAAAATGTTTTTTATATTTTTGAAAGGCTGTAAAAATACAAAAAAAAAAAAAAAGAATATTCAACAGAGACCCTAAGTGGCCAGCCTGGCCTAAAATATTTATTATCTCACACTCTACAGAAAAAGCCTGCCAATTCCTAATCTAAACTATAATAAACAAACACATATAAGACATATAAGCCATCCCTTATACATAAAGCTTAAGCTATAAATATGTCAAAGTAGATATATAGTTCTTTCAGTGATGGCTTCATAATGATACAAAGTATCTTCTCCAGCCCTGCCTATTCCTCTCTTGACCATAACCTTAGCCAAAATCTCTACCCTTCTTTCTTCCTCCTAATGCTTGTTCTTAGATGCTCTGAGAATGGTTTCCTTGTCATTAGTACCAGCTACGTCTGTCAGTCTTTTTAAGAATATCATTCCTTTTGCTATCTAAATATTTCCTAAGCTTCAAGTCTGACTTCTTCCAAACACCATTCAGGATCTTTCTGGCTCTTTAGTGGCCTCGCTTTCCTTTAAATTATAGTCCTGGCCACACAACTTAATAATACCACCTTATTTTTTGTTAATGATTTCCTGTGTGTTAGTCTAGTATCTCCAATTAGTTTGTAAACTATTTGAAGGAAGGAAACACATCACATTTCTTTTATCTGTGTACCCACTTTAATAATAGATCATCTTCTAAGAACATGCCATCTCCCAAGCACACCTTTCTATTTGATAGCAAAATAGTCTGGGGGCTGGTAAAGGGTAAAAAGTGATGGAAAATATCAAAGGATGACACACAGGAACACTTGATGTAAGATCACAGGCCACACTGAGAACTTAGAAAGTGTATGTGGAAAAAAAAGCAAAACTGTAATAGGGGGTGAACAGAGAGATAATGATCAAGAGATAAAAAAGAGACCACTAAAAAATACTCTGAAATAAAATAAGACCAAAATATTAAGAAAATTATAAAAGCAAATTTTCTTTAAAAAAAAAAACCTCTCAAATTTGCCCTTCAACATTACTGGCCATTCATTTTTTTTTAACAAAAAGCTCTTGATACCAATATCTATAACGGCCATTTTTCTTTCCTTTTTCTCTCTTGTCTTTTTTCTTTTCTTTGTATCTGTCTTTTGTTTTTGCAATGTCATAAACTGAAGCACTGAAAGATTCAATGAAATAAACATGCACAGTATTTGAAATCTTTGGATTTATAACACTGTGAATTTATTTGAAGTTTGATAGACAATGCTAGGGATTTTTAAAAAAAAACAAAAAACACCACTTACATCCTGGCTGGTGTAGCTCAGTGGATTGAGCATGGGCCTGCGAACCAAAAGACTGCGGTTTGATTCCCAGTCAGGGCACATGCCTGGGTTGCAGGCCAGTTCCCAGCAGGGGAAGCACGAGAAGCAACCATACATTGCTATTTCTCTCCCTCTCTCCTTCCCTTCCCTTCTAAAGATAAATAAATAAAATTTAAAACAAAAACAAAAAAACACTTGTCTTTTGATTACCAAAAATTGGAACTCAAATGTATATTACTACATCACTCTCAAAAATACCATCTACACTCATTTTCATTTTAAAAAGCACCCAAAACATCACAATTCATCAAGCTAATTTAAAAATATAAGGTGCACAAGCCTTGGATGTATAAACACGAAATTTAAAGCATAAATCCAGTTTGGGGCAAAAGGAGGTTTATAGTTGAGAGTACAAGAAAAAGTTTATTCTTGTATTATTATTTATTATTTCCCATATGAACAACTGTAAACCTACTTTTGCCCCACCTGTAATACCCCTGAGGCTAAATAATAGTCAAATTATAAATTAAATGCTCTTAAGTAAAGCCACAAGAGACAATAAAAATATTAATCATGCATCCCTTCTCTTTTTTCTGGGTTTTATAGGCTCTTTACCTGACCTATACATAGCTAGTCAGAAAACAGGGAGAAGTTTTAAAATTAGTAATAAGATATGCTTAATATACTGTAGAAATTTAACAATTAAAACAATTATTGAATGAATGTTAAAAGAAATCAGCTTTCAATTACTCTTATGAAGAGTAGAAGTGATGACACATGATACCGAAAGACAATCATAAAATCAGTTTTTTTGAAGCCATATCATTAATTTAAGGAAGCAAATTACCCTCACAATTATGTTTGATTGAAGGCAATATTAACCAAAAGTTTATTTTTCCTCAACATTCAATAATTCAGACAAAAGGGAAAAAGAAGGAATTAACCTAGAAGCACACAGGTGGCTAAAGGCAGCCAACCTGGGATAAAAAAATTTTCAGTTATCCTACACAAGAAAACTCAGATAATCTATGCAGGGAAAGAAAGACATAATAGTAAAATTTACTATGATAGTGCTTAAGTGTTTAAATATAAAAGTAATTATTAAAAATTTTAGAAGATTTTTTCTTGTCAAGTTATCATGAAGATAACTTATCTTCATGCCTTCTTCCCACTAACTGGTATTATTCATGAAGACAAGATTATCAGTAGGCTAAAAAGTTGAAAGCAAAATTTTGAGTCCCATGTTATAAAAGATGTGTTAAAAATACTTTTCATCACTGTTTTCTGTGAAGTCCACCATCTGTTTCAGAGGGCACTTATATCATTATATGAGACAAATCAATTCAACCAAGAAAACATCGAAAGGCAGAGGGACTCATTTCTCTTCAATATTTTAGGTGACTTAAATCTGTAATTCTTGCATGATGGCAAGAATTACAGATTAAGCAAATATAAAAACTAAATATTCACCTAAATACCCCATAGCCACAATACTCAATTAGTTTCTGCCTAACATATGGCTCCAACTCCCGAGTGGCATATGTTCAGCACTGGTGCTGGTAACAGCATGGAGATAAAATATTATAGCAACAGGTCAACTGTTGCTATTTCATCCTTATAATACAGAGAAACATATACCGACTCTGGTTTCAAGAACTAAAACCAAAGACCACAGTTAAGAAGCAAAACTATGTTGCTCAGTTTTAAAAGTCCACAGTGAATACATAAATAAGGATTATACTGTAAAAAATAAAATAAAATAACCTTGTCAGCCGGTTACTCTTAGTTAACAGAAGCTCAGAGACAGGTTTTCACTACATTTCACTATAGAAAATTTCTTAATTCACAATTCTTAGCAACTCAGCAACCATTACACACCCCTCCCCCCACACAAAAATATCCCAAGGCTTTTAACTCTCAGTTTAATGAAAGAACGATTAAAGACTACATAATTTAAAACGGCCATCACTGTGCCCACTATTTTATGATGAAATTATTTGTTCATTTTCCTTTACCTAACGTTTGACGTCCCTCCACAGCTCTGTCAAAAGTTCAACGATTCAGGCTGTTGAAAGACAGCGAGGACGGCAGTCTCCAGACACCCTCCTGACTGAACAGGTGGTTAAGTCCACCGGGTAGAAAGACAGCCAGGTACCGCCACCAACCACACAAGCTCAAACACAGAAGGGCGGGTTTTCGAGGTTTTTAACCCCAAGAAGAGCTGGGGAAACTCTCTTCAGAAGCCTTTCAAATTCTGTAGATGAGGGGAGGTCGCTCAGCGACCCTTTCCAGAGGGTCACGCTCTCTCCCCCGCCCATGCCGGAGTGACGTAGCCTGCCACAAGCTGCAGGCTGTGGGGGCTTTGAGCCCCACGCCACCTCATGAGGCTGGTGAAGGAGCCGCAATAACTTAAGAGATGAGACTCCCACTCGCAGGTGCCCGGCCAGTGGTCGGGTTCCTGTCCCTGGCTCTGCTCCTCTCCCCAAAGCGTGCCCACAGGGCACGGTGGTCCAGGCCCTCGACTGCCTAGCCTTGCTCGGTGCGCCAGCTCCTCAGACCCAGCCTAACTGTTTCCGTGAAGCCTAAAGGGCGGAAAGGGAAGTGGTGGTGATGGTAGAGTCTCCCCTACCTTTCCCTGAGGGAACGCCCACTCTTTCACCTCGGAGTTGTGCCGCTTTGGGGTAGAGGAAGGCGACTACTGTGGCGCCTCTTCTTGAGGTTACTGATCGTTCTCACTCTACCTTAGAGGCAGAGCCAGCTGTCCGGGCTGCCACGGCTGCTGGTGTACTGACTATGGGTGGTTTCCCGGCTGTGACGGCACCACCTCAGCCCTGCTCTTCGCTCCTTCTCCTCCAAGCTCCTGCTTTCTGTTTCACCCGAGGTACCGCGAAAGCCACCGCCGCCATGCTTACTACGGAGCCAGGAGGTGGAGCCCGGATTCAGCGTGCTCAGTGCGCCTGCGCACGCTCCGCCAACTGGCCTGTTCGACCCCCCGCAGAACTCGACTCTGCGTGCTAGTCCCAAGCTCTTTCACTTAAGCCCTAGTTACCTGCAGAGCTGTGGGGTCCCAGTGCCCCCAGTCTTCCGGGGCTGCAGACTCTTTTCTGAGGCCCGGCTGTGCCTGGTTCATCATAGTCTCTGCCAGCCTGCGCAAGTCACACTAGGGAAATGTGTCGTTAATTGATGGTCCTAGGGCTACTCACACAAATCTCAGACCAAATTGCAACATTCCCCATCCCCTCCATGCGGACACACCAGGTCAGCCTGTTTCTGAAACCACATGAATTTAACATGGGGCGGGTGGGAAGACAACCAGAGTGGGCTTGGGTGTTTTCAGTCCTAAGCAATTGGAGGTTGGGATTGCTCTAGCAAGCAAAAATATTTAAACTGAAATATTTAAAAATATTTAAATATTTCAACTGAAGTAAATATTTAAATATTTACTTCAGTTGAAAACGTGGGAGTTAGTTTATTAGTCTCTTACCCAGTCAAATCGCTGGAAACCCATTATGTTACTTGATACAATAGCAGGAAGACTTACAAGTGAAGGCAGCAGAGATTTCTTAAACCTCCAGCAAATAGGGGGAGGGGCAATATTGCCTGAGGGCTGGCCAGGGCTGCTAGCTGCGGGCAGTTTCCATTGGTGGACTTAGGAAGGGGATGGTGCTTGAGACCAAGAGTACAGCCCCAGTAATTGTCCCTTCAAAAGCAATGATGAATATTACCAGGGTCCATATTTTGGTTCCTGTGTCTCTGTGTATGTGCGCGTGCGCTGCCTTTTAAATTAGCAGTATTTTTATTTTAACCTTTTCATAGAAGTCCTTTTTTAAAAAAAGACTCACTCTCTATATTCTTTTTTCTTTTTTAAAATATTTCCTTATTTTATTGATTACGCCATTACATTTGTTCTATTTCCCCCCTCCATTCCCCTCCACCCTGCACACCCCTCCCCCACAATTCTCCCCCTTTAGTTCATGAACACATGTCTCAAGTTCTTTAGATTCTATATTTCCCATACTATTCCTACCCTCCCCCTATCTATTTCCTATCTACTGTCTATGCTACTTATTTTCTGTACCTTCTCCCCCCTTCTCCTTCTCCCACTCCCCTGTTGCTAACCCTCCATGTGATCTCCATTTCTATCGTTCACTCCTGATCTAGCTGTCCTCTTAATTTGCTTTTGTTTTAGGTGTGGTTGTTTATAACTGTGAGTTTGCTGTCCTTTCACTGTTCATCTTTTTTATCTTCTTTCTCTAAGTCCCTTTAACATTTCATATAATAAGGGCTTGGTGATGATTAACTCCTTGAATTGGATCATATCTGAGAAGCGCTTTAACTGTCTTTCCATTTTATTTTTTTTTAATTTTTTTATTGATTATGCTGTTACAGTTGTTCTATTCCCCCCTTCATTCCCCTCCACCCTACCCCCCAATCCCCACCATTACCCCCCTTTAGTTTATGTCCATGTGTCTCAAGTTCTTTAGATTCTATATTTCCCATGTTATTCTTGCCCCCCCATCTATTTTCTATCTACTGTCTATGCTACTTATTTTCTGTACTTTCTCCCCCCTTCTCCTTCTCCCACTTCCCTGTTGCTAACCCTCCTTGAGATCTTCATTTCTATGTTTCCACTCCTGATCTAGCTGTCCTTTTAGTTTGCTTTTGTTTTAGGTGTGGTTGCTAATAACTGTGAGTTTGTTGTCCTTTCACTGTTCATGTTTCTTTAACTTCTTTTTCTTCGATTAGGCCCCTTAATATTTCATATGATAAGGGTTTGGTAATGATGAACTCCTTGAATTTGATCTTATCTGAGAAGCACTTTATCTGTCCTTCCATTCTAAATGAAAGTTTTGCTAGATAGAGCAATCTTGGTTGTAGGTCTTTGGATTTCATGACTTGGAATACCTCTTTCCAGCCCCTTCTTGCCTATAAGGTGTCTTTTGAGAAATCTGCTGACAGTCTGATGGGGACTCCTTTGTAGGTGACTGTCCTCTTAGCTCTTGCTGCTTCTAGGATTCTCTCCTTCATTTTAATTTTGGCTAATGTAATTGTGATGTGCCTTGGTGTGTTCCTTCTTGGGTCCAACTTCTTTGGTACTCTCTGAGCTTCCCGGATTTCCTGGAAGTCTATTTCCTTTGCCAGATTGGGGAAATTCTCCTTTATTATTTGTTCAAATAAGTTTTCCACTGGTGACTGTGCCTTTCCCCCTTCTGGTACCCCTATAATTCGGATGTTGGAGCGTTTAAAGATGTCCTGGAGGTTCCTAAGACTCTCCTCATTTCTTTGAATTCTTGCTTCTTGACTCTTTTCTGTTTGGCCATTATTTGCTTTCTTCTGGTCCACTCCATTGATTTGAGTCCCAGTTTCCTTTTCATTGCTATTGGTGTCCTGTGCAATTCCATTCATTTCAATTAGTTTCACCTTCATATATTTGTCTAATTTGTGGCTATAATCAACCAGTTCTGTGAGTATCCTGATCACCAGTGTTTTAAGCTGTGCGTCTGAGAGTTTTGCTATTTCTTCATTGCTTAGATTTATAGGCTCTGGGGCTTTGAGATCTTCTTGAGCCATTTTTGGTCTGTTTGTGCCCTTTAAGTGTGAGGAGCGGCGCCTTGGACTCCCAGGTCGCTGGGTTGTGAAGCTGTATGTGGGAGCGTGGTTAGAGCGGGGAAATGGCAGCACTCTCTGCTGTTTCATGCCGCTGGGTGAGGAGCAGAGGCTTAGGTGGTTCACCTGGTCCAGGCCACTCAAGAGTCCCTGGGTTATGACACGGTATGTGGAGGTGGGGTCAGAGCAGGGAAATGGCGTTGCCCTCCTTGCAGCTTGCCTCGGGGACTGCTGGTTCCCGGTCCAATCGCCCACTCCCTAGCTTGTCTATCCGCGCACCAATGCACGACCACAGTCAACCCGCAGCCCGGCTCCCTCGCTGTTTCCCCCGCGGTTGCTCGCTTGGTGGCTCGCTTTGGTCGCTCGCTCGGTTGCTCACTAGGTCCAACCCTGCGCCTGGATTCTGAGCTCCTGAGTCCGTCTGACCGAGTTTTCCTGTGCAACCCCACTCCACCAGCTGCTGGTTTCGCCCCTTACTGGTCAGGCTGAAGAATTTGTTGTTAACAGACTTCCAAAAAGTTCAATTTTCTGTGTTCTGGCTGTGTTTTCTGTTGCTAATATTTAGTTGTCTCTACACTTGGTTGTGTGAGAAGGCACGGCTTATCCACCTATGCCTCCATCTTGGCGGAAGTCTCTGTCTTTCCATTTTAAATGAAAGCTTTGCTGAATAGATCGATCAATCTTGGTTGTAGGTCTTTGGTTTTCATGACTTGGAATACTTCTTTCCAGCCCCTTCTTGCCTGTAAGGTCTCTTTTGAGAAATCAGCTGACAGTCTGTTGGGCACTCATTTGTAGGTGATTGTCCCCTTATCTCTTGCTGCTTCTAGGATTCTCTCCTTCATTTTAATCTTGGCTAATATAATGATGATGTGCCTTGGTGTGTTTCTTCTTGGGTCCAACTTCTTTTGGACTCTCTGAGCTTCCTGGATTTCCTGGAAGTCTATTTCCTTTGCCAGATTGGGGAAATTCTCCTTTATTATTTGTTGAAATAAGTGTTCCACTCGTGACTGTTCCTCTTCCCCTTCTGGTACCCCTATAATTTTGATGTTGGAGTGTTTAAAGATGTCCTGAAGGTTCCTAAGCCTCTCCTCATTTTTTTGAATTCTTGTTTCTTCATCCTTTTCTGTTCGGTCATCTTTTTCTTCCTTCTGGTCTGCTCTCTTAATTTGAATCCCAGTTTCCTTTCCATTATTATTGGTTTCCTGTGCATTTCCATTCATTTCAATTAGTTTAGCCTTCATATATTCCTCTAATTTGTGACTAAAATCAGCCAGTTCTGTGAGCATCCTGATCACCACTGTTTTTAACTGTGCATCTGAAAGTTTGGCTATTTCTTCATTGCTTAGATTTATCGGGTCTGGGGCTCTGAGTTGTTCTTGAGCCATGGTTTGATCTGTTCATGCCTGTTATGTATGAGGAGAGGCGCCTTTGGTGTTCGCCAGGGCGGGGTCACCCAGGTTGCTGTTTTGTGATGCTGTATGTGGGGGCGGGGTCAGAGAGGGAGCAATGGCAGTCCTCTCTGCTCATTCTGTCCACCTCACTACTTGCGCCCGCCTGTTTATCAGAGTGCAAATGTGCGAGTTCACTGCCCTGTGCCCTGCGGTGGGGCCTGCTTGGTCTGTCTCAATGCACGTCTCCTCACTGGTTTATCTGTGAGAAAATGCGCAACCTCAGACAGCCAGCCACACCTCGAACCTTCCCGGAGCTACCCCGCACCTGGGATCCTCGCCCTCGGCTGCTTGCGCGCCCCCGGGGTTGGTGGATTGTTTTTGCCCAACCACTCCACTGCTGGCTTCGCCCTTCTCACCACTTTAGCTGAGCTGTTCATTGTTTTTGGACTCCGTGTTGTTTGATTTTCTGTGGTTTTGTTGCATTTATTGTTGTTAAAACTTTATTGTTTTTAGATTTGGTTGTGCGAGGAAGCAAAGTGTTTCCACCTACGCCTCCATCTTGGCAGAAGTCCCTATATTCT